TATGAGTAGATGCTGATTGGCACAGAGCGGCATTTTGCCACGCATGTGCAGCAGCCTCCCAATGCTATCCAATGGACTGGTTGAGATCATCAAGATTGATTATTAGCCATGGAGGCAGAGCCAGCCACTGCGAGCCAACATAGCGTGGGAAAAAAGGTGAGTAAAAACACCTTTCCAATGCGATTAGAGGGGGCCAGTCACACTCAGACATACTCACTGACAGACACACACACCTATTGTACAGTGCTGCAGAATTTGTTGGGGCTTTATAAATACTAATAATAATACTGGCACACACACACATTCTCTCGCACACTCACAAATTATTTGTTTTTTTAATTTAAAGGGACACTGTAGTCACCAGAACTACAGCTTAATGTAGTTGTTCTGGTGAGTATAATCATTGCCTTCAGGCATTTTTATGTTTAAATTGCCCCTAGGGACACCTCCAAGTGGCCACTCCTCAGATGGCCACTGGAGGTGCTTCCTGGCTCAGTGCTGCACAGGAGGCAGCAGTGCCGCTGAATTTTCCTCATAGAGATGCATTGATTCAATGCATCTCTATGAGGAGCTGCTGATTGGCAAAAACGGTGTTTGGCCCTGCCCCTTGCCGATTTTAGCCAATCCAAAGCATTGGGTTGGTTAAAAATCGGCAGTTCTGATGATGCCACCAAGGGGTTACCTCTATAGGTATGATGGGACCAATTGCCCTCAAAAAAGTAAAATTGGCAGTATATACAAATTCACAAATACATATTTTATAAACAGTGCCCACTCACCAGTGGTGGAGCATCAATCCTTATAGGCTCATATGTTGCACTTTCAGGGGCAGATTACTAGCGACTATTTATCTCTTTCGTCATTGCCTCTCCCTGCTCTTATTTTATACCAATTATTCCTGCGACTTCTATGTCTGGTTTTGATACAAATTGATACTAACTACGCGTTGTGTGCCCTTATTTGGTTACTTAATATTTGTAGTATAGACACTGCCCGTCTTGTTTTCTCTACTCCTGCCATTAGCATTTCACCAAACAATATATATTTATGACAGGATAGGTTTCATTCTATTTGATTAGTGCATTATATATTACATTGATACCTTTTTATTAATTACTGATTTTGCAATCATACACAATTTAAGAAGGGTTATGTTTTAATATTTACTTTTCTAGTCTGACTTTCCTTTTTTCTTTCTATCTAGCATACAATTTATTATTTGCAAGTTTTACTTACCTTTTCGCAAACACCAAGACACCATCAATGCTGCTGCCTCTCCTCCTCCCGTGAAATCATCGTAGAGAAACATCGGAGACAGATGCGCAAGAAAATTCAATGCTTTGCTATGAGCTGCCTTTGGTCACATGGGTTTTAGTCGTTACTGTGGAAGTGGCTATCAGGAAGACAGCCTTAGCAGCATATTTAACCTTGCAATGGAAATATTGTATGTTCTTCAAAGCAGCTGTGTTTTACATTGATGGGTTAAAACTGCAGGGCCACTTCACCCAGACCCCTTTATTGAGATGAAGTTGTCTGTGTTTCTTAATGATTCTTTAAGTGTGTGTAATGCTCTATAAAAAGAGGGTTTCACACCAGACACTATACTATACCTTCTAATAAAATCCATTCACTTAGATGAAGCATCAGTTCCAGTCTATGAAGAGGATACATGGCAATCATTGGGCCAATTTGTGATAGATCATTCAGAATATTTGTGTGTTTTAAAAATAAATAAATAAATATTTTAAGGCAAGTTTAGGAAAGACACTCACACCCCTAACACATTTATAAGAATTCTTGGTGCCCTTTGGTGTAACATTGATAGGCTTGGCACAATTTAATGAAAAGTGATAAAGTGAGTGTGAAGAAAATGGACTTTTAATTGACATTTTCTTCTTTATTCAGTATTTTTCCTGTGTTACTACCTGTATAGTGAATGTATTAGTTCGTTAGTTTGAAACTACCGAACGCCGACCACCCTCCTGGCTTATTAACTACAAAGGAACCAGCTATTAAGTGATCCATGGACGGCCGCTGTTTGTATAGCCGAACGCCACGTGGAATAGAAAACGGCGGCCATCTTGTTCGCACGAGGGGAGTCAGCGGGACTTGGTCGTCGAGTGTCTGGAACTAAAATCGGACACTCGACCTCGCGAACCACCGCTGAAACTACCGAACGCCGGCTTCTTGTATTTCCCGAACAGCCAGGGAAGCGCCGTTCGGTAGTTCCATGCGAACGGACAAGGGGAGCAATCGCTGCTATAAGCCAGGGGGATCCATTCTGGACTTTTGTTCGGTTTTTACAGATTTGTGAATTGACCAGCCGCACATGCTGAATTCATGGAACTGTTTTGGGCAGGAGCCGCGTGTGTGGTCGGTAAAAGGGACCCTCCACACTTTTTCAGAACCCCTGAACCGATCTGGGTGAAATTTGGATATGTTTGTCCCCCAGATCAGGGCTAGCAGGGGATATTTGTAATTTGTGGGGATACCTTGTGGGGAAATAGGTGTTCTACGTTTTGGGGAAATTGTGTGCTCTCTGCCTGGAGATAATTGGTTTATTCCTTAACTTATCTCAATATCTCCCAGGCAGAGAGAAGGCGGGTATTACTGTAAATCTGTACGTTGATTGGCTGTTGTCTTTGTTTGCTGTGGGAGGTCCTCTTGCAGGAGGATTTCTCATAAAAGCCTGTATGTTGTCAATAAAATTCATTCCTGTTACACCCTTCATGAAGTCTAGGCTCATGTTTGGGGAATATTCTACTTGCTGGGAAGAATCACCTTGGAACTGCATTTCATCTACCTTATTCCTCTACTCCAGGCTGCAGCTATAATCACTCATGCTCAGCTGTTGGGAAAGGGAACTCAAGACCGCAGCACCATAACCACTGCTGGTCTTAACAGTGAGATGCACTTGTTGACAATTCTCATCAGTTTGTATCCATCCATCCTTTGTATAACAATGGTGCACAAAAAAAACATAAAACACTAATAGTGCAGATTGTTTAATAACTCCATCCCCCCCTATAAACCCTAGCCTCCCCCCTCTACTAAACTCCAGTCCCCCCTCTGTACTAAATCCCAGTCCCCAGCTCTGTACTAAATCCCCCCTTCTACTAAACTCCAGTCCCCACCCCCGTATTAAATCCCAGTCCCCACCCCCACTCTACTAAATCCCAGCATCCCCCTCTACTAAACCCTGGCCCTTATTTAAAAAAATAAAAATAGCCAACAAGCAGACTCCACTCACATTGCCGTTGCGAGTATGCGACTCCAGAGTCCAGCCTCTGCTATACCCCCAATGGTGCCATCTGCACCCTGTGCCAAAGCGGGTCCTACCGCTGCTCCTTGAAAACCTGTGAAGGTGGAGCACGTTGACGTCACGTCGGAATCTGACGTTGCGTTGTGTGCCTCCATGCACCTGCAGATCCTCCACTATCCAGCCGCGGCCAACACACACTGACACTCACTCACTGACAGACAGACAGACACACACACTCACTCTCTGACAGACAGACACACACACACACACTGATAGGCATGCACACACTCAAGGGGGTTAACCTGGCAGGATTAGATTAATATGGAAGGGTGAGTGTGGCAGGGTTGGGAGGAGAGTGTGACAGAGTTTGGGGTGAATGTGGCACAGTTGGAGGATAGGATTGGAGGGGCTTATGTGAGTGTGGCAGGGTGAATGGGGTGAGTGGGACAGACTGATAGAGGATGAGTGTGACAGGGTTGGGGACCATGTGCGACAGTGCAAGAGAAGGTGAGTCTGACAGTTAATATGATAGGGTAATTGTGGTAAAGCAAGTGCAGGTGGGTTTGGTATGGTTGAAGGGGTTGAGAGTGACAGTATTAGGAGGGTTTAATGTGAGTGTGGCTGGGTGAAGGGGAAGACAGTGTGTGGGGGCTGAAAGTATATGTGTGTGGGGGTAACAATGTGTGTGTTGGGGTGACAGTGTGTGCGTGTGAGGGGAATCAGTGTGTGTGGAGGGGGGCTGTGACAAGGGTTATGGGTAGGGTTTAGGGTTAGGGTCCAAATTACCAAAGTTCCGAATTGCCAGAGTAGACAAATTTTTTTACTTACCCGAATTTCCAAACCGAAATTAAAGGGGGTAGGGGGGTGGAGGGGCAGTAACATGGGGTTGAGGTTTAGTAACGGGGGGGGGGAGGTTGCAGTAACAGGGAGTAGGGGGTTCATAAATAGCTTCCCTAGTGTTCCTGTGTGGTCCGGCTCTCTGGTCTGCAGCTCCGCCGGGAGTCAGTGGTAAATCTCGCGATCTCCAGTCAGAGCGTTGCCACGGGTTACCATGGCAACGCTCTGACTGGCGGGAGATGGCAACACTTCAGTCTGCAGCTCACTCCCAGCGGAGCTGCAGACTGACAGCTGGCTCTCTCCTGGGCAGACTGACAGGAGGGGCCTCGCACCCGGCGGCATTATGGGCAAGCCGGCGGGCCCCCTCCTGTGGTCTCTGACTGAGGACCCGACATGGTAGTCTGCCCTAAGGCGATATAGGCGGCCACGAGGCCCCCCATCTGCGCGAAGGCCTTAGATGGCCACGCATATTTATAGGGAAACTCCAGTGCCAGGAAAACAATTTTATTGCAGTTTATAAAAAACTGCAATAATTACAGTTGCAGGGTTAAGAGTAGTGGGAGTTGGCACCCAGACCACTCCAATGGGCAGAAGTGGTCTGGGTGCCTGGAGTGTCCCTTTAATATCATTAAATATATGTGCATGTTTTTTGAAACAATTTTATGTATTGGCACTATGTCCCCAGTATTGAGTGTATGGACTGGAACCAGTTTTATGTTGGGGGCACTAAGCACCTTAGCAGTGTATGGGGAGATAATGCCCAAAATGAAATCCACACATCACCACAACTGTTCCATTATGGGGGTGGGCATTCGAGAGCCTGTGTCACGTAGGATTTTCTTATTTTAATATAGGATTCCTCTACCTATTTATGCCATGCTAAACATACTATACAACGTATTAGGTTCCATGCAAATTCAATTTTATTTGATATATATTCATATACATTAAATACATTCTATAATATAGCATCAATAATCCCTTGAAGCACCAAATACTTCATTAAAAAAAAACAATTCTACACCAAAAAACAGTATTTATAGCGCTGTTATGAATTTACTGTTAGGTGTCATATACTAAAGCCAAATTAAGGGATTTATTCACTAAACTGTGAATTTTTGTAACATGACAAATGTACATTTTGCAAATAGGTTGGAAATTCACTGTAAAGTGTTAACTGTTCTATGTGTGAGTGGATTTATATCTGCTGCTGGGATTGTGAAATACAGTGTCACCTACATGTGGCAGAGCTTACAACCTGCTCCATCCGCTGAAACTGTGCCATTAGATCTAAACAGTATGAGCTTTATAAGAGCAAGGGTACCAAATTTGGACTGCCATTGGGAGAGTTATTCTAGCCATAAAGCATCACTCCACTAGATGGCACTGTTTGGCCAAATGATAATTAGTCTGCCCTGTCCTAATGTAGTTATATACGAAGCATGTCATGCTATTAAAGGATTTGGCTAATCCTTGGTTCTTAAGAGGTTAATGTGAAACTTTCACTGGTTTAAGGCCATAAAAGTTGCCGCTCCTGTGTCTACCGTTCAGGGACCGAACATTCATGCTGCGCTGCAGACTATGTTGGTGCTTTATAAATAAAAATTCATACTAACACATGATTATTCCTTAAACATTAAAAAGGTGTGTAGTTGCAAATTGCTAAACTTAGGTTGGAAGGTCAAAACCTTTGAAGTAAAGCGATTTTCCAGTGTAGACATTTTATTTTCAACTCTATTAAATGGTAATTCATAGCTTAGTGAATAAACCCCGTGGATTTCAAGTATTTTCCTAAAGATATTCAAACCAGTTCATTTTTTTCAGTGTCTGAAACTATGTATCCAACATAAACCTACAAATATTTATAATTAACTGGGTCCTCAGATATTTGTGTTCTTTATACAAATATAGAATATATATTTTCTTCTACCTGTTTTTTTTTTCTTTAAAACAAATATAGTTCTTTTTCTACTGCTTGCCTTTTTACTTTGTATATTTTATACTAGTTTGGATGAGTGTCTATTCACGTTTGATTATTTAAAGATGTGTGCCTCATAAATATACAAATTCGTTTTTATTTGGGATCAATTATATTTTGTTTAAAACTGCTTTAAGCAATGCATTCTTTTGCAATAATATAGCCTCTGGTGCAAAGCTTTTAGCTTGCTTTTTATCCACATTAAAATAATTAAAATCTTCCAAAAGTAATGTTTTCTTCCTCATTCTTTTGGGTTGTAGACATTTTTGGGCAAACTTTTTGCCATGGGGCAGTTCTAAGTCAAATGATGGATGCAGTTTTGGTTTGGGCATCACGGCCGGTTACTTTTGCCAAAAATCATTGCCATCTGCATGTTAGTATAATGTTTTTTAAAGTCATTCACCGAGAGAGGAGGGTATGACTTGAAGTGTGACCTACACCAGAGCAGGATAGTTAGTCAAGGCAAAAATAAATACAAAACTGTTACAAAAATGATTACTTTAAACATTTTTTTCCTTTTACAAAAATAGCTTATAGTAGGAAACGTAAAAATGAGTCACCAATAAATGTTTTTTAAACACCCTTTTCCCAAAGTATATTTTTAAAAAATAAAAAAAGTCAATAAAGGCACTATTATAGAAAATATGGCAACAAAGAAGAAGGCCAGTGTATTGGTCCAAAACCTTGCAGTGAACTGTGAATAGTATAATGGTTTGCATCTTGTTTCAGAAGACCTGTGAGAAACTATGTGTATTGTGATATATGCGTAGACATGGGTACACTGTGATACTTTTTTTTTCCTAAAGCTTTGCAAGGGATTGGTAGGTGTATGTATATATTTTACATACATATATACATTCACGTGCTAGAATTACATTGTATTATATAAAATTACAGTACTTGCATTAGCATTGTTGCATTTTGCACACACACCAAAAAAAAATCCCTTATTTACCATGCACGTTATAAAAGCACAGTGTTAAACTGAGGTCTTTTTAAAAACACAGCATTTTGAAGCCCTGGTTTTGGTAAATATTCTGAAACAAACTATTAAAAGTTTGTGGAAACAATGGGATTTATTCATTGAATTGGGAATTGTGGAGAATGGACTTGGGAAATTGCGAATTTATGCAAAAAAAAAAAACGAGTAGGAAAATTTATCAATCTTTGGCTATTTTTAAAGCTTCACAATTCTTCCCTAAAATTCAGTTCTCTCGTCTGTTCTCCGCACTTCCTGTTTAACCCCTTAAGGACCAAACTTCTGGAATAAAAGGGAATCATGACATGTCACACATGTCATGTGTCCTTAAGGGGTTAAACCAGTAAACCTTTATAAGTTTTAGGACCACATTTCATTAACCCTTTGTCTTCTCCATGTTCCCAAGCATGTGTATTGCCTTGTTTTCCAGCAGTTCTGCCTTCTGGTCGCTTTGCAAAACCACATTATTTACCATTGCCTTTGCCAGGACCTTAACAGGCACAGAGAGAGCGCTTGGGAACATATAAGCTATTGGAGCTAAAACCTTCCTCGTCATCCATTCTGTGGGACGCGACTCCTTTCTATCGCACAGCAGAACTCTACAATAAAGCAAAGAAGATCATGTGAGACAAAAAAAAAAAGTTTGTTTTTTTACACTAAGAAACATAGAATCATAGAATGTGACGGCAGATAAGAACCATTCGGCCCTCACAGTCTGCCCAGTTTTCTAAATACTTTCATTAGTCCCTAGTCTTATCTTATAGTTAGGATGGCCTTATGCCTATCCCACGCATGCTTAAACTCCTTTACTGTGTTACGCTACATATCAACTATTAAAAGAAAGACAGATGCCTTTTATAAAGCAACACTGGTGTTAAAAATATTTATTTTCAATGTCAGAGTGCTCCTATTGGTGTTTAGATTATTGCCTCTGCCCTTAAAAAATTAAATGCAACAACATCTCCATAAACCTGACCTGTACACCAGCACTGTGCTATTCTCCTCACAGTTGGACAAAAGTAACGACCTTTGTTGTCCTGGTACTATAGTTCATTTTTAATCTTGTGGAAGTGCTTTGTATGTGAAAAGTGTGTCTACTTTTTTAATTTTACATAAAGTGCAGATTTCCATAGAAAAACATTGTCACACCCCTCCAACTGTCAATCAAGACAACCAGTCCTGTTACTTCCTGGTTTGGTTAGCTCAGTGAAGCTAAACTCAAGAGGCAGCAATTGCTTAGAGCACCTGCCTTGCAAAGACTTCTCATTGAGCTGCATTGGGAAGTCTGTGATTGGACAGCCACAGAAAGTCTGGGCGGGGTTAGTAGTTAAGGGCTTACAAAGGCTGCAGGCAAGAGATCTGCAAGCTGTTTTTACATAAAGCCTGAATGAAAAAAAAAAAAAAAAAGTTATAATTCAATACATGCATTGTCATTGGAGGTGTATCTACTAAATAGTAAAAAATAAGTTTTTTTAAATTCCATTGGAGTGTTAGACCGTAGTAGTGACTGTTCAGTAAAGAGAACAATGAGATCTGCATTTAATAATGTACAGGTAAATGGAATACCAAGCAGACTTACGCTGGTCTGAAGATCGTGTAGCGTTCAAAGTCCAGCTCTCCGACCTCCGCTTCAACCTCCCCCTTAAAGTATACAAAATGGAATTTGGTTTACATTGGTCCACAGGGATATTTTCCTTTAAAAACCCAACAGCCCGTTAAACAAAATCAATAGCCCTTAAACGTGTGGCAGCTTCTAAGCACAGCTCTTATTGTAAATCCGCTCATATGAATGATGGGGGAATGTTAAATAAGTGTGCAATGACTGGATACTGCAGTCATGTAAAATAGTTTTAGAATATATTGGAAGAAAAAAAATAAAAATAAAAAAAGGTAAAAAAATCTTTCATCCTATCAGCGTCTCACCTTGACTCTCAAATACAGGAAGCTGCTCCCCTTGTCAGCCCCTTTAGAGGACTCCAAATTGAAGTGTTTGCATCCACCTGCTTTTGCCAACTGTGCCGACTTAAGAACATAATCATGATCCACACGAATAAAGCCAGCCTGGAAAATAACAGAAACATTTCATGAATTAAAAAAAAATAAAATAAAAATGAATATAATATAAGAGAATATATATATATACATACATACATACATATACACACACACACACACACACACTGCTCAAAAAAAATAAAGGGAACACTTAAACAACACAATGTAACTCCAAGTCAATCACACTTCTGTGAAATCAAACTGTCCACTTAGGAAGCAACACTGAGTGACAATCAATTTCACATGCTGATGTGAAAAATGGGATATACAAGAGGTCGAAATTATAGGCAATTAGCAAGACACCCGCAATAAAGGAGTGGTTCTGCAGGTGGTGACCACAGACCACTTCTCAGTTCCTATGCTTCCTGGCTGATGGTTTGGTCACTTTTGAATGCTGGCGGTGCTTTTACTCTAGTGGTAGCATTAGACGGAGTCTACAACCCACACAAGTGGCTCAGGTAGTGCAGCTCATCCAGGATGGCACATCAATGCGAGCTGTGGCAAGAAGGTTTGCTGTGTCTTTCAGCGTAGTGTCCAGAGCATGGAGGTGCTACCAGGAGATAGGCCAGTAGATCAGGAGACGTGAAGGAGGCCGTAGGAGGGCAACAACCCAGCAGCAGGACCGCTACCTCCGCCTTTGTGCAAGGAGGAACAGGAGGAGCACTGCCAGAGCCCTGTGCATGTGTCTGCTCAAACGGTCAGAAACAGACACCATGAGGGTCAGGGCCGGACTGGGAGAAAAATTCGGCCAGGGCATTTTTTTAACACAGCGGCCCACTAAAAAGGGGGCGGGGCAGAGGAGGTGTGTTTTGTCATCACCAATGACAAACACGCCTCCTCTCAAAGTGAGCATGTTGGTTCAATGCTCTTCCAGGGCAGACCATGCGCAGAGCTCTGCTGAAGAGCTCTAGCATGAGAAAAAAGTCCTGTATTTGTTCTGCACAGTGCAAGCAAATTTAATAACATGCTTGCACTGTGTTTCCTTGCAACTTGTCTCTGGTGTCTCTATAAATGGATACCAGGAGACAAAAGGCCAGGAAAGAGTATTGTGCATGTGTTTGGAGCCTGCTTGTGGTATTGCGTGTGTGTAGAGTGAGCTGGTCATGGTGTGGTATTGTGTAATAAGGTCAGTTTTAGTCGTGTTGTGTTTGTGGTGTAATGTGATGCATATGTGGCTCAGGGACCCCCTCCCGCCCGGCTCTGGAAAGGGGTTAAAACTTACCTTTTTCCAGCGCCGGGCGGGGAGCTCTCCTCCTCCGATCCGCCCCGTCGGCTGAATGCGCATGCGCGGCAAGAGCTGCGCGCGCATTCAGCCGGTCGCATAGGAAAGCATTTATAATGCTTTCCTATGGACGCTTGCGTGCTCTCACTGTGATTTTCACAGTGAAAAGCACGCAAGCACCTCTAGCGGCTGTCAATGAGACAGCTGCTAGAGGTTTTGGGGGAAGGCTTAACCCATTGATAAACATAGCAGTTTCTCTGAAACTGCTATGTTTATAAAACAATGGGTTAACCCTAGAAGGACCTGGCACCAAGACCACTTCATTAAGCTGAAGTGGTCTGGGTGGCTAGAGTGGTCCTTTAAGAGTGTAGTGTGTATATTATATATATTTGGAAGTATTGTGTATGTGTGTGGTGCAGTGTGTTGGGGGGGTTCTGTGTGTATGTGAGGGGTGCAGTATGTGTGTGTGTGAGGGTGCGGTGTGTGTGTGAGGGGTGCGGTGTGTGTGATGTGTGTGAGAGTGCCGTGTGTGAGTGATGGGTGTGAGAGTGCTGTGTGTGTGTGAGAGTGCTCTGTGAGTGTGATGGGTGTGAGAGTGCTGTGTGTGATGGGTGTGAGAGTGCTGTGTGAGAGAGTGCTGTGTCAGAGAGTGCTGTGTGTGATGGGTGTGAGAGTGCTGTGTGTGATGGGTGTGAGAGTGCTGTGAGAGAGTGCTGTGTGTAATGGGTGTGAGAGTGCTGTGTGTGATGGGTGTGAGAGTGCTGTATAAATGTTATTGTGTGTGTGTAGGGGGGGGTAATTAAGTCATTATTCCCCCCCCCCTTCTTACCTTAAGCCTGGGAGGGGGGGGGGACCGGCACGCTGGGAGGCGGGGTGGAGGTGTTCCCTGGTGGTCCTCGTGGGTGAGTGAACTCTAGCCCGCATAGCCTGTGAGGCTAGAGTTCACTCTCGCGAGATCCGGTCGTTGCCATGGCAACGCGCCGGATCTCGCGAGAGGAACCCGGCGGAGCTGCAAGTTAGAGCTCCGCCGGGTCCTCTCTCCAGCCTGGCTGGCTCCCTCCCTCTCCCCCTCCCCGCCGGCGGCCGCATGTGGGCCGGTCAGGGAGATCCTTGATCTCCCCACCGGCCCGTCGTGGCAAACAGCGGGGTGGCGCTAGGAGAGTGCCGGCCCTGCATAGACCGGCAGGGGAGATCCTGAGACCTCCCCTGCCGGCCTCGGCCCATGGCCACCGCGGCCCACCGGGCATTTGCCCGGTGTGCCCGATGGCCAGTCCGGGCCTGATGAGGGTGGTATGAGGGCCCAACGTCCACAGGTGGGGGTTGTGCTTACTGCCCAACACCGTGCAGGACGTTTGTCATTTGCCAGAGAACACCAAGATTGGCAAATTTGCCACTGGCGACCTGTGCTCTTCACAGATGAAAGCAGGTTTACACTGAGCAGATGTGACAGACGTGACAGTCTGGAGACGCCGTGGAGAACATTCTGCTGCCTGCAACGTGCGTGACCGGTTTGGAAGTGGGTCATTAATGGTGTGGGGTGGCTTTTTTGGGGGGGGCCGCACAGCCCTCCATGTGCTCACCAGAGCTAGCCTGACTGCCATTAGGTACCGAGAGGAGATCCTCAGACCCCTTGTGAGACCATATGCTGGTGCTGTTGGCCCTGGGTTCCTCCTAATACAAGACAATGCTAGACCTCATGTGGCTGGAGTGTGTCAGCAGTTCCTGCAAGACGAAAGCATTGATGCTATGGACTGGCCCATCCGTTCCCCAGACCTGAATCCAATTGAGCACATCTGGGACATCATGTCTTGCTCCATCCACCAACGTCACATTGCACCACAGACTGTCCAGGAGTTGGCAGATGCTTTAGTCAAGGTATGGGAGGAGATCCTTCAGGAGACCATCCACCACCTCATCAGGAGCATGCACAGGCGTTATAGGGAGGTCATACAGGCACGTGGAGGCCACACACACACTACTGAGCCTCATTTTGACTTGTTTTAAGGACATTACATCAAAGTTGGATCAGCCAGTAGTGTGTTTTTCCACTTTCATTTTGAGTGTGACTCCAAATCCAGACCTCCATGGGTTGAAAAATTTGATTTCCATATTTTAAATTTGTGTGATTTTGTTGTTAGCAAATTCAACTATGTAAAGAACAAAGTATTTCAGAAGAGTATTTAATTCATTCAGATCTAGGATGTGTTATTTTTGTGTTCCCTTTATTTTTTTGAGCAGTGTATATATATATATATATATATAAATATATATATATTTTTTTTAGAATGTCTATGAATGATTATACTTCCAACAGGAAGGTACTAATGTGTGAAAAAGATACAAAAAAAAACAAAAAAAACAGTTAGTTGGTTAATGGACTGATAATGTTTTCTGCCTCAAGGATTAATACTTTTTTTTTTTTTAGATTTATTAAAACAGATCTACTCTACATTATATAACCGATCAATTATAGTGTTACCACTTGGTTATGTTAGCCTTATTTCTACCATATGGATTTCAATTCACTAAAAGGATACATCCAGAGCAGTTATCAGTATATCCTAAAAGATCCTTTGATCTCAGTCTGCAGCGTACACTCACCGCAGGTATGGTTTTAATGAATAAAGAAGCCAGATTGCAAAATCACACAAAGACAACATATGTGCAAACAAACACATTTATAACAATTACAAAAGCTCTAAAACACACTCAGTTCTGAATTCCGAACACGGATTGCAGTAAGATGTTGTTATAAGAAGCACAGTATTTGCTAATTGTTTGGTAAACTCTTCCACTGCCGTGTTTGCAAACCATCCATCAGGAAGCGCTCCCACCGTCAGCCAATGGAAAGAGCTTGTACCCACGCTGCATTCCTACACACCCCAAGCCATTTAAAAAGTAATTTGATTAAAGTGAGCCCCTAATTTGTGTTGGCTTTAATTCTGCACTATACATCACTTAATCGAGTGCTGCCATCTCCAATTGTCTGCTGGAAATTTAACTGACACAAATACCATGAGATTTCTTTCAATCTGCTTAGGCAAGCCAACTCATTTCAATGCTATCCCCAGCCATCGCATGCCAGCGTCCCTCTTTTCAACAGCGCTGCTTACAACTGACAAATTCTCCTTGAAGAACAAGCGGCCTCGGCAAGCCCAAGCGTCCCACACTTAACCCATCATCCTCGCTCAATGGGCGCTGCATGACGAGATTCCACGCCCTTTCCCATTGCAAATCCCCGGCCAAAGTTGAAATATTGTTGCATTAGAAAATCATCAGTCAGCTAATCCCAAGAGAGTTTCTCAAATCCGCGGAGAGGCTGAGCTGGCCGGCTGGAGAAAGTAATCCTTCTTTATATCCATTTAATAATAATTACAGCCTAACTTGATTTCAATGAGAGAGTACTTAAAGCCACAGACTGAACAATAGCTCCTTGTGTGAAAATGTGCAACTTTTTTCCACCAGATACTTAGCAAACTGTGTTCTCAGACGGTAGGTAAATGAGGGAGAATTTGAGTAAATTACAATGTTTTTAGAATGCAAGTTAAAAATTAGATGAAGAGGATATATGCGCTAGGTCTGACCATCCCTTGTATCATTGGAAGCAAATTGATAGCTGAAATGTGCAAACTAAGAGTTGTCGTGAATTCAAAGCAAATTTTAAATTGAAGGCCAATAAAACCAGAACTGGAAGCATTGCTGACCTGCATAAATTTCTCATGTTGGCTACTTTGGTCTAAAAATTCAAATACACCTTCATTTCACTCTGATATAATAACAGTTCTCTCTTTAGTAAATAAACTCAATATTGCACGGGTCTCCGAGTTATGAGGCGGACTCCTGGGGTGCACGAACATAATCCCACAGAGTAAATTTCGAATAATTCACGGCTAATGTTCTTCAAATTTAACTTGCTATAAATACCAAATTATAGTGAACTGAAAATGAAATCGCAAAATGTGAATTTTTTTTTTTTTTTTTTTTTTTTTAAATGAATCGGCTACAATCCCGTTTTTTTTAAAGTGTAAGTATAGTAACAAATATGTTTCCCTGGCACTATAGCTCCCTATAGTGCCCACCCACCCCTGGTTAAAACCCACTTCAGTCACTTACCTGATTCCAGCGCTGATGTTCCTCGGCACTGGTTCAGGCTCCCCCTTCGCTCCTCCCCCACCGACGCCAGCCTTCGAGGGAGACTTAATGTTTTCCTATGGGGTTTCGGGTGACGCTGGATGTCCTCGTGTATAGCGTGAGGACATCCAGCGTCAGTTAGGCGATCAACAGGACAGGTGGAGTTATCCCTCAGGGTTAAGGGACCTGGAACACTGCATCCAGACTACTTCAATAAGATGGTGCCTATAGTGTCCCTTTAACCCCTTAAGGACACGACAGATATATTCCGTCATGATTCCCTTTTATTCCAGAAGTTGTGTCCTTAAGGGGGTTAAAGTGAAATTACGGCAAATTTCAGTCTTGTGTGTGTAAATATTTACAATATGGTGTGAATTAACCCGAATTCAATGATTAGTGATTGAACCATTTCTTTGTGAAAAATAATTATTGTTAAATGGTGTAGAGAGATTCTCAGCTCAGGTCCCAGATTTTTAGCGTGTGAGCTTGTTTAGGCACGTTCCTCTCCACCTACTGTTCCATATGTCAAGTTTGTTTTGTAAGAGTTGTAGGTCTTGTTCTACCTAACGTTCAGCACTGCAGAATATGTCGGCGCTATATACATAATTGTAATCTAACAGATTATCAAGCTCTCTGGGCAAACGGGGCCGATTCTCAGTAGATGCACAGATTGTCAGGGTGGCTGGGAAGGATTCTAGTGTTATAGACATATTTAGACAGGATTATTTACTAAATCCCACGTTAAAGCAAATACATCTGAAATTAATTTTGTTTAAAATAGCAAATTTCTAAAAAAATAAAATAAAAAATAAAAATCTCCTCCGTTCACAGATTGGCAATTAACCTCACTTTTGCCATTGGGGTTTAATTTGCAGTCAGTTTAGTAAATGCCCCAGAGATGGTCAAATTCACAGAGGAGAGGCTGTGAAGTTTAAATATGGTAAATTCTAGGAGTAAATAACATTGTTCAAAGCATTGCGTACATGGCCACGAACCCACAGGGATCAATCTGATGAAATCTGCAGAAGATTTAAAGGGATATCATAGTGCTAGGAATTCAAAGTTGGTGCACTCTATTGCACCCGCTCGATCACCTGATGAGGGAGAGAGGCTAATGCTCACGCGCAATGAGTCCATTAGGCCCTCCCATAGGAAAGTATTGCTGCAATGCTTTCCTATGGGGATTTTATCAATGGTCAATGTCCCATTGCAGAGCGTGAGGGTGTCCAGCGTCAGACAACCAAAAGTCACATAACAAGTAGGAAGTACCACTAGTGGCTATCTGATCGACAGTTACTAGAGGCAGTCTTAACCTTTCAATGAATCAACGCATCTTTAATCTCCATTTCTTGGTCATTGTTACATATCTGGGCATGCTTGTTTTTTAATATATACATACACACAGTTGTCTATGTGTACATGTTTATTGCCCTGCATCTTAAAGCTATTTGTTCCCAGCCATACTCAACACTGTTGGTTTATTAACGTAAATGTTATTCACCTTTGTGCTTATCTCTAAAGACTTTCTCTGTTATTTCTGCCCCGCCCCCTTATTTAATTAATACCCAGCAGAATGTTTTGCTTGACCAATCCTCACCTCATTGGTGCATCTCTGTTCCATAGCTTTATTGCAGGCCTTTTCTGACCCCATCATTTCTGTCTTTCATAGTCTGAGTTAAAAAATGTTGGAAGCCAGAAGAGTTTTCAGTTGCCCACCCCAAGCTCTTCCATTTATAGATGGAATCTCACATACAATTTTAGATTATTAGAAATGACAGCTGCAAACTCAACCTGTAATTAGCACACTCCTTTAACCCCTAACTCTCAGTCCTCATTCTCCTTACTTCTACTCATTCTGCTTTTCTCAAAGTACTTACTCGTCTGAGCAATGCTCTATCTTCTCCTCTTCCTCTTTATGCTGCGCTCCTACAGTCTGACTCTTTCCTCTGCAAGAGTAAATTACTTCAATACCCTCATAAGCACACTGTCCCGGCAACACAAATGCCTATTTCACACTTTTAATGTTCTTCTTCACCCTGTTGATCTCCCTCATCCTACCACCTTGTCCCAAACTTTGCAACACAAGCTGTCCCTCCCCTACTAATACAATCACCCAACCCCACTTCCTCTGCTGTGGCTTCTGCTCAGCTCCTGTCCTCCCGCCCCACCACCTGTTCCCTCGATCCAATTCCCGCATATCTCATCCGCACTCTGTCTTCCTCTCACTAAAATTGTCAATCTCTCCCTTTCCTCTGGCACATTTCCTTCACCCTTCAAACATGCAACCATAACTTGGATTTACCCCAACTCCCCTACTAACTACCGCCCTATATCGCTACTGCCATTTTCCTCTAGGATCCTTGAGAGAGTTGTGTAATGCGAGATTGACAGACTTCCTCAAAGCCAACTCTCTGCTTGACCCGCTTCAGTCTAGATTCTACGCTCATCACTCTGTCGAAACGGCTGTGACCAAAGTATCCAAAGACTTAATTGCTGCTAAATCTCGCGGCCATTACTCTATCCTAATTCTCCTTGATCTTTCTGCTGCCTTTAAAACTGTTGATCATCAACAGGTTCTTCTCATTCTCTGAAATCCCGGTCTGCCTCCGTTAATTGATGCTCCTAGTGCTCACCGCAAACTCCAAGCACTCCACCAGACACCATAAGTACCGTAGACCCCACAAACTGCCGCAGCTTGGTTGGGGTCTCGCCGTCCTCCACCCACGCTGGACCCAAGACCAGGATCCAGCTTCCAGTGGGTGAGCCTCTCCTACTCCAGAGAGTATAGTAGGCACAGCTCTTATAAGAGCTAGCGGTTGGAACCCAGGGAAGTATAAGGAGTATAGCAATCGCCAGAGGGTGAAGAGGAACTGATTTTAATGGTGACACACTTGGCCCATTATGACAATCCCCATGCAAGGGGTACGCCCACATGGACCATGTGGGGAACTGAGTAACAATATTCACAGACCAATAAGAATAAGGTTACAATGCACAACACTCCCACACACAGCACACAATCCCTCCCCTCTGCCTGGGAGATAATTGAATTAATACAGCATCTGACTCAATTATCTCCAGGCAGAAAAAAACAAAAAACATTTCTATAAAGTCCCAAAAGTAACCCAAATGGGGGGCATGGTGAGAAATGGATACAGTGGGGGGAGGAGGCAGGGAGAGAAGGGGTTACAGTGTGGGGGCGGGCAGGAGAGAAGAGTTTACAGTGTAGGGGAGGCAGGGAGAGAAGGGGTTACAGTGTGGGGAGGGGGCAGGGAGAGAAGGGGTTACAGTGTGAGAAGGGGGTGGGAGAGAAGAGGTTACAGTGTGGGGAGGGGGCGGGAGAGAAAAGGTTACAGTGTGGGGAGGGGCAGGGAGAGAAGGGGATACATTGTGGGGGGGGGGGCAGGGTGTGGGGGCTGTGTCCTACCTTTATTAAATTCCCTAGTGGTCCAGTGTCTCTCCCTGGTGGTCCAGGGGGTTAACTCTGCGGTCTGCAGCTCCGCCGGGTGCAGAACTGCAGACCATGTGATAGAAGTCTTGCAAGCTCCCAGAGTAACATGGTAACGCTCTGGGTGCTCGCATGACCTCTATCACACAGTCTGCAGCTCTGCACCCGGCAGAGCTGCAGACCGCAGGTCGTGGGCTCTCTCTCGGGCAGACTGATGGAGGGGCCCGGCAGCATACAGGGCAAGCCACCGGGCCCCCTCCTGATGTCGGGCCCGCGATCACAGACAGAGGGCCCGACTAATCAGCAGGGCCCTCATCTACCTATTGTTCCTGAGTAATTGTACATTTCCCCCCCTTTCATAATATTGTAAAGCTCTACGGAATTAGTTGGCGCTATATAAATACCAATAATAATAATAATAATAATAATAATAATAATAATAATAATAATAATGTAATTATTGACGTTTTTCAGAAACTGCAATAATTAAAACTGGAGAGTTAATGGAACAGGGACATTGCACCCAAACCACTTCAATGAGATGAAGTGGTCTGGGTGCCTATTGTGTCTTTTTTTTTTTTATAATTTACTTTTTATTTTTTTTCAGTAAAGTACTGGGATGTGGGATACAGAAAAGAAAACGGGGGAGGGGTGGGGGCGGGGTACATCACAAAGTCATTCAATATTCTATACAGCTGGTTTCAAGTTGCGTATATCCTATGGATTACCTCAGGTTTGGTTTGTGACGATGACCTAATAGTGCGGGGCTTTGGCCCAAACCAGGGTGAGGGAAGGGTTAGTAATCGGGGGGGTAGTAACATGTCTTATCAAACTTGGGGGATAACCGGTTATAGTGTCACTAACGCATACGATCTTGGTGTTTGTCGTCTACCTTGGGGGGAGTGCGAGCATATGTGTGTGGGTGCGTTTCCCTTTATTTATGGGTGCGTTTCTGTTTATTTATAGCGGAGCCCAATGTCATAGTCAGCGTTTGGGTGTTGTAGGCGGTCGGGGATGATAGCTCTGATCTGGGTAGTAGCATATAATGTTCGGGGAAAGGGTTGGCTTATATAGGTATGGGTAGGTCTGGTACTCGCTGTTGGTTGGCGTATATGTTGGCCCATGGCGTCCAGGCTTCTCTCAGAGCCTGTGAACGTTTGGGGGAATTTGTGGTCATACGTTCATACGTATAGTATAGATTGAGTTTGTCCAACAGTTGCTGTCTGGATGGGCAAATGTCACTTTTCCAGTTTGTCGCGATAAGGTTCCTAGCCGCCAATATGGTAAGTATAGCTACTTGTTTTAGAGGTTTGGGTATGGGTGTGGGGAATAGTAAGAATAGGCAAACTGATGGATTGAGAGTTACATTCTTGACATTTAAGGATTTGAGGGTGCTGTCCACATGTCGCCAAAGTGGTAGCAGGACAGGGCAATCCCACCAAATGTGGATCATCGTGCCTTCTGTGGTTTTGCACCTCCAGCATTCCGCTGTGACCGTGGGGTATATTCTGTGAAGTCTACTGGGTGTGAGGTACCACCTATAAATCAATTTTTTGTGGGCTTCCACATGGGAATAGCAGTTGGTGACACCTTTAAGTGCATTAAGAGAGCGCAACCAGGCGTCTCCTGATGGAGAGGGGGCGTATTCCGCTTGCCATTGTTTTTCGTAGGGAAAGTGTGTGGTGGCGGTGTTGTGTAGCAGTGAAGCATAACATAGAGCGAGGGACTTGGGTTTGGTGGGTGTCTGCCAGCATCTGTCATGTATGGCGTCTAGGAAGTGGTGGTCATGGGGTGTGGTGTCTCTTTGTGTAAGGATTTTATGGGCCGCGATGCTTTTGAGTTGGAGGTATTGGAAAATGGAGGAATTCGGTAGTCCGTATTTCTTTTGGAGGTCCGGGAAGGGCATAAGTTGTTGGTTGTGGTAAGCGTCCGCTATGTGTGTGATGCCTTGTTTCCTCCAGGAGCTCCATGTCAATCCCGGGGCTAGGGAGCCCAGGGCTGCCATTGGAGCTCTCGGGTGGAATTTTTCACTCTTGTTCTTAGAGTGATGTAGGCTGTCCCATTGTTTCATCGTGAGGACTGAGGTCTGGAACATATGGGGTGTGTGTGGTCGGAGTTGCGGGGGTGTCCATAGCATCGGTATTAGTGAACCCCCAGGTGCAGTGGCGTGCTCCATATCTACCCATTGGAAGGTTCCTTTGGTGGCGTGGAGTTTAATTGCTGCTTCTAAGAGTGATGCTTTGTGATATTTGGCCACATCTGGGAGGCCTAGGCCACCCTGCTGTGTGCGTTGTTGGAGGAGTGAGCTTGCTAGCCGTGGTTTACGTGCCTCCCACATAAAGGAGGAGATTATGGCCTGTAGGTGTTTGTAAAACTTCGGGTTAGCATAGATAGGTAACATTCTAAATTTGTATAGTAGCTTTGGGAGTAGCAACATCTTAATTGAGTTTATCCTACCCAGCCAGGAAAGTTTTACTTTTTTCCATTGGTGGGTATGTGTTATGCATTGTGATATTAAGGGTTTAAAGTTAAGATCAAAAGTGGTTGTGGGGGATGGCCCGAGTTTTACCCCCAGGTAGGTGATATCGTTAGTTCTCCAGTCAAAGGGGAATGCTTGTTTGAGTTGTACTTGCAGTGCATGCGGTAGGTTTATTGGAAGGGCTTGAGTCTTGCTCTGGTTAAGTTTGTAGTATGATAGTTGTCCGAATTGGTCTAATAGGTGTATCAGTGCTGGCACCGATTTTTCCGGTTCTTTGACTGTAAGCAGAATATCATCCGCAAACATAGAGAGACAATATGTGTGGTTTTTTATGGGTATACCTGTGATCGAGCTGTGGTGTCTGATTTTATACGCTAGGGGTTCTAGTGATAGTATAAAGAGAAGCGGTGACAGAGGGCATCCTTGTCTGGTGCCGTTGGTAATATGGAAGGGCGTAGACAAGAAGCCTGAGTTGGATACTATCGCTTGTGGGGCGTTGTATAGGGCCATGATGCCTACAATAAGGCCTTCCGGAAATCCGAACCTGCGGAGGACCTGTTGCATATATTCCCAATTGACCCTATCGAAGGCCTTTTCGGCATCAAGGGCTAAAATTAGACCATTCGTTTGTGATTTGTGCATGTGTGATAGTATGTTTAGGATTTTTCTCGTGTTGTCCGAGCCTTGTCTGCCTTTGATGAACCCAGACTGGTCATTATGTATCAGTGTAGGTAGAATTCGGGATAGCCTATTGGCCAGGAGCTTGGCGTATATTTTGACATCTGCATTAATAAGGGAGATCGGCCTAAAGTTTTGGCATAATGTTGGTGATTTACCTGGTTTGGGGAGCGTCGATATGTGGGCCGTTAGCATGTCCCTGGGTATTTGCCCTGAAGTGTAGCAGGAGTTGAAGAGGTTCGTCAGGTGGGGTATGAGGGTTTTGGCATAGGTTTGGTAATATAGGTTGGAAAAGCCGTCTGGTCCTGGGGCTTTTTGCTTGGGTAGGTCATGGACAGTCGTTTCCACTTCACTTACTGTGAAAGGGGAGGTGAGAGTTGCTATGTCTTCAGCTCTTAGACTGGGGACATCTGTGGAGTGTAAGAAGTCTATAATAGATTGGGGGGAGGGTGGTGTTGTCTGCGGATCATCTTTAAGGTTGTACAGGGAGCTGTAGTAGGATGCAAACTCATTCACTATGTCTTGTGGGTTGATTATTTTGTGTTTTTTGGAATTTTGTATATATGCTATTTTTGAGGATTGTGACTTGGTTTTAAGCTGTGCGGCTAATAGGGCCCCAGCTTTGTTTCCAGTGGCAAAGAACTTGTGTTTGTATCTCTGCAATAGATAGGTGGTTTTCTCCATTTCTAGTTGGTGGAGATCTTTGTGTAGCAAGGTTAGTTGTGTGTGTGTGTCTTTGGAGGGTTGTAGTTTATTTTTGTGTGTGAGATCTGCGATGTCGTGTATGAGTTTTGTGTATTTCATCCTACGCTGCTTGTTGTGGTAACTGGCTATTTTAATAATTGTGCCTCTGATGACTGCTTTATGTGCTTGCCATAGTGTCTCTATGCTCGTGCCTTCCGTTGCATTTTCTTTGAAGTAGATGTCCATGTCGTGTTGTATGTTGGCTACTATGTCTTGATTTGCGAGCAAGGTATCATTTAGTCTCCAGGTGCCTTTTCCCTTGAACATGTGTTGTTCTTGGATGGACAGTGTGATAGGTGCGTGGTCTGACCACGTTATGAGGCCTATTCCTGCTGTCTGGACTCTGTCTATGTATTTGGTAGATATCAAGAATCTGTCTATCCTTGTGTATGTGTTATGTACTGCAGAGTGGAAGGTATAATCTTTGTCAGTGGGGTGGAGTATCCTCCAGGGGTCTACGAAGTCGTGTGCGAGGATGGTGTGTGCAATCTTGGAGGTGAGGGTTGTTAGTCGTTTGGTTGTTTTCAGATGGTCTGGGTGGTATGTGGATGTGTCTATGGAGGTATTTAGCAAAAAGTTGGTGTCCCCTCCAATTATGGTATCTCCGAAGCGATATAATGAAAGTAAGCCAAATATTTTCACCATAAACTCGTGTTGGTTGTCATTTGGTCCATAGATGTTGGCCAGTGTGTATGGGTTGTTGTTGATATAACATTGAATGATTAGGTATCTACCGTGTTTGTCACCAATTTTTTTCACCAATGTGAAGGATGCATCTTTGCTAATTAGAGTGGTTACTCCTCTTTTTTTTGATTTATAACATGAGTGAAAATCGTGGGGGTATAGGACCGAGTTAAATTTGGGTCTATTGCCCCATTTGAAATGAGTTTCCTGGAAGAAAGCGATTTGGGCTTTGGATTTCTTGGCTTCTTCCAACGCTAGCCGTCGTTTGTGAGGTGTGTTGAGGCCTTTTGTGTTTAATGATATAATTGTTAGGGTCATTTTATGTAGTTTCGGGAATCTGCTATATAGGTCTTTGGTTTTTGTAACTTATCACTCCATTGCTTATCTGTCATAAGAGTGAACTCCCTGTTGCACCCTATTGGTTGCGTGGTGTGGTTTTGCAGGTATGGCCATAGCATGTTTAGATGTGATTTACCTGGTTTTAAAGTGGGGAAGCTGCCTGTGGGGGGGAGGGTACCATGGGCTTTGGCTATAAATGACATGGGTGTGACCCGTGTGTATAGCCCCTTGGTTGGGTAGTCGGTAATGGTGAGGTCTGGCATTAGCGACACGTTAACATATAGAGACATAGACAATAAAAACAGTATAACATTTTGAACTATATACACATTGCCGTCAGGGGTGGTACTGGTGGGTACAAACGGCGTATAGGAGGCCATCTTTGGCCTGATGGGGGGGACCAGAGGGCCTGCAAGAGGCTCTAATTGTGGGTATAGGGACTCTGTATAGCGCGGGTATTTAGCTAACGTGCTACCCGTGAGTGGTCTTTGTGAAATTAACAAATTATGCGGTAGGGGAATCAACATGACGTGTTTCCTAACTTGTTACCACAAAATACAGGTGCGGATTAAATCAAGTTAGGGCATCTCGGGTGTAAAAGGTTATTATTAAGCCGTAGGAACGGCTAGAGGTTGGCGTGTCGAGCTGTGCTCTGTAAAGTCACTTAGCTGTACTCCAGTCTCTGGATATCCGTGCAGGGGAGCGTCGTTGTGGGATCTGCACATCGCCGCCGGTCGGTGTTGGCTGGGGTACGTTCCATTCTTTCAGCAAGCGGTGTCCTTCTTCTACAGTGAGGATATGTTTTTCAGCGCCGTTCCGCCTGAGGATCAGCCGTGCTGGAAAACCCCATCTGTAGATAATATTAGCCTTTCTCAGAGCCGTGGTGATCGGTGCCAGTGATTTCCTCTTAAGGAGTGTGGCCGCAGAGAGGTCAGTGAAAATCTGTATTTTTGCATATTTGCCTGGTAGTTCAGGGAGGAGTCTTGAGGCCCTCATGATTTTGTCTTTAGACGTAAAGTAATGAAATTTTGCTATAGTGTCTCTTGGAAGGGATGCCGGCAGGTTCTTTGGCCGCGGGAGGCGGTGAATCCTGTCCAGTAGGAGTTCAGCCTGTGTCAGTTCTGGGGACAGAGCGTGAAAGAGGTCCGCTGCGAATTTCGGCAGATCTTGTGGGGGTATATCATCTGGAATACCTCTTATGCGGACGTTGCTCCTTCTGTCCCTGTCTTCGTGGTCTGTTACTTTGTTTGTCAAGAAATCGAGTTTGGCAGTTATATCAGTATATGCATCAGCCAGTGTGTTATGGGCACTTATGATCTCATCTGTTTTATCTTCCAGATGGGCAGTACGCTCACCTATGGCATGTATGTCAGCTTTAATGTCTCTTGCCAGTTTTGTGAATTCCATATGCATGGAGTTTTTGAGTTCTTCTAGCATTCTGTGTATGGAAGAATCTGTGGCTGGTGCAGAGGCATGTGTGGAGACAGATGTGTTGTCACTGCCGTCCGAGCAGGAAGCCGGCGAGGACGGGTTATCGGCGCCATCTTGGATTTTTTGTCTCGGCGCTGTAAGTGCCGATATCAGCAGGTCTGCCGTTTTTTGTTTGGGTTTTTTAGTAGCCCGGTGTGCCATGTTCTTTGTACACCCAGGGGAGCTCGTGACTTTAGTTTATTTCGCCGTTTTAGTCGCTGAGTAGAGCCTCGTGTGCGGGAGCTTGCGGCTTACACGTCCGTCCTGGCTCGTCGCGTGGCCACGCCCCCCTATTGTGTCTTTTTAAGGGCAAAATAGCCAAACTCGAAGAATTCTCTATGTAAGCTATTCTTTTACTTCGGCTACTCTGGCCTTAACTTTGAGATTCACTTTAAATTCTCACTTATGAATAAAACTAAGTCTGTCTTCCTGTGTGAGCCGTATATAAGGAGTGCGAGATAAGAACGTATTTTAATTGGAGGGCAGTGTAGTGACGTTGCAGTGAGGGTTTGAAGATATATGCTGGGAACTTTAACCCCTTAAGGACCAAACTTCTGGAATAAAAGGGAATCATGACATGTCATGTGTCCTTAAGGGGTTAAACAAGTCCAAATAATCTACTCACCTCCCCGGATTTTGCTTTAGTGGTTCCCAAGCAGCAGAAACCCACATCGTGACCTTGAAAAGCTGCAGCAGAGTCATCTAACTTGTCAAAATCAACCACTTCTTGCACCTGAAAAGACAATAATTAGAGAGAAATGAGACAGAAACAGACTGGCCCACTCACTGTTCAGAAACACAACCTGTTTATTAACCCCTTAAGGACACATGACGGAAATTTTCCGTCATGATTCCCTTTTATTTCAGAAGTTGTGCCCTTAATGGGTTAACAGCGGAGAGAATAAAAGGTTAGAGGAGTCAATGTTTTATATTACCAGCATTAACCCTGTTAATGCCAGTGATTTCTAATTAATAACATTATAGCTATTAACCCTGTGGCACCTGGAATTTTGATATTTGTAACATTATCTTTATTAAACCTACTGTATAAAACATGTATTTAAAATAAGTATTACATCTAATGGTGACTGGTGTATTACAGTTAGTATAATATAAACCTATAAAGATTTTAACCATACGGGGAAATTCTAAGCAGCAAAACACATTTAGTTTAATGAAGTGGTTTTGGTGTATGGATCATGCCCCATGCAGTCTCACTGCTCAATTCTCTGCCATTTAGGAGTTAAATCACTCTGCTTGTACAGCCCTTGCCACACCTCCCCACATGTGACTTACACAGCCTTCCTAAAAACTTCCTGTAAAGAAAGCTCTATAAACCTCCTTTATTGCACAGTCTGTTAGAATTCCGTATCTCCTGCTCTGTTGGTAGCCTGCTAGAGCCTGCATGATCCTCCTGTGCGGGAGTTCAATTTATGGAGCAGGAGATAAAAACTTCTAAAAGAAGTTAACATTTGATTAAAAAGTAAAACCGTCTATTCACGGAGACGGTGTCAGTCACAGTCAGGGGAGGTGTGGCTAGGGCTGCATAAACAGAAACAGAAGTGATTTAACTCCTAAATGGCAGAGAATTGAGCAGTGAGACTTCAGGGGCATGATCTATCCCACAACTACATAATTAAGATAAAGTTTTTTTACGGTGCTTTGTGTGTCCTTTTAAGTAATAATATATGTATTCATCCTATATGGCCTGGGGTTTTGTTATTTGTAATAATATAAATATTAATGTTATGGGGACCTGGGTTTTACAACTATTATTAATTTTATACATAGTTTTTTAGTTATATAAAAGTTTTATTTTTCTTCTTATGGGATTTTTCCCATTGTGAAAACTCTGAATATCAGCTTCAGAAATCATCAGGGCTGCATATACCTGTAATAATCTCTTAATTATTTATTTATCTATTTAGAAAATATTTTACCAGGATGGATGCATTGAGATTTCTCTCATATTCAAGTATGTCCTGGGTCCACAAATCATTGCATTGTTACAATAGGATACAATAAAATGCAAAAACAATATTAATACACAATATATACACAATGTAACATAGAACAGGTAGGAAATATATAATCAACCATGACAGGTGCATTCTGTTTTGAGATATGTAGAGAGGGATCTCTTAAAGGACTTTAGGCTTGGGAAGATTTGAAAGTGTGCGGGAGGTCGTTCCACAATTGCGGTGCTCTGTAGGAGAAGGAGGATCGGGCGGCTTTGTTTTTGTATTGAGGTAGACTAAATAAAGTGCTGGTACTGGATCGGAGGTTATAGGAGGTGGGAACAGCCGGGGAGAGCATTCTGTTCAGGTAGGGCGGGAGCTTCCCAGAAAAGCTCTTATACACAAGGCTGGAAAGATGAAGGGTGCGTCTGGATTCTAGCGACAGCCAGTTTAGTTCTTTTAGCATATCACAATGGTGGGTCCTGTAATTACATTGTAGCACAAATCGGCAGAACGAGTTATACAATGTATTGAGTTTATTAAGGTGGGATTGCGGTGCAGATGCATATACTACATCCCCATAATCAATGATTGGCATCGGCATTTGCTGTACAATCTTTTCCTTCAGTGTAGGGCTTAGGCAGGATTTGTTTCTATATAGGGCACCTAGTTTTGGATAAAGTTTAGATGCAAGTTTTTCTATCTGGAGGCCAAAAGATAGATTGGGGTCTAACATACCCAAGTATTTGAAAGAGTGGACTGCGGTCAGTGTGCTATTTTAATTTGTTTTAATGGATAGGTGGGAATTGTGTAATTTGTGTAATTTAGGTACTGTTCCAAAGATCATTGTGACAGTTTTGTCAGTGTTTAGGAAGAGGTTTTTTTTTCTCTCCACTTTTCTACCTCTTAATCTAATATTAATAAACTGGCTCCATAACAGATGTAAATTAAGAGAAAATACCTACCACATCCTTATAGGCCTCGTCTTCCAAAGGCAGCTTCCTGCGGCCAATGACGGTGATTTTACTGAAGAGTTGGCGATGAATAATTTCCTTCAGCAGCTCCTGGCCAGTCTCTCCTGTGGCCCCAAGAATGAAGCAGGACTTGTTAAGCTTTTTGTAGTCCTCTTCTTTAGTATTGAAGTCATTTGCCATCCTGTAAGTATTAATTATTATTGCTGGGTAAAAAGAAAGGGGTTAATAATGAGGAGAGAGGGGGTTAATAATGGATGCTGGGTAAAAAGAAAGGGGTTAATAATGAGGAGAGAGGGGTTAATAATGGATGCTGGGTAGGAGAGAGGGTTAATAATGGGTGCAGGTAATGCTGGGTAGGAGAGAGGGGTTAATAATAGGTGCAGGTAATGCTGGTTATTAGAGAAGGGGTTAATAATGGGTGCAGGTAATGCTGTGTATTAGAGAGGGGGTTAATAATGGGTGCAGGCAATGCTGGGCATTAGAGAGGGGGTTAATAATGGGTGCAGGTCATGCTGGGTATAAGAGAGGGGGTTAATAATGGGTGCAGGTAATGCTGGGTAGGAAAGCGTGGTTAATAATGAGTGCAGGTAATGCTGGGTAGGAGAGAGGGGTTAATAATGGGTGCAGGTAATGTTGGGTCGGAGAGAGGGGTTAATAATGGGTGCAGGTAATGTTGGGTTGGAGAGAGGGGTTAATAATGAGTGCAGGTAATACTGGGTAGGAGAGAGGGGTTAATAATGAGTGCAGGTAATGCTGGGTATTAAAGAGGTGGTTAATAATGGGTGCAGGCCATGCTGGGTATAAGAGAGGGGGTTAATAATGGGTGCAGGCCATGCTGGGTATAAGAGAGGGGGGTTAATAATGGGTGCAGGCCATGCTGGGTATAAGAGAGGGGGTTAATAATGGGTGCAGGTAATGCTGGGTATTAGAGAGGGGGTTGATAATGGGTGCAGGTAATACTGGGTAGGAGAGAGGGGTTAATAATGAGTGCAGGTAATGCTGGGTAGGAGAGAGGGGTTAATAATGAGTGCAGGTAATGCTGGGTAGGAGAGAGGGGTTAATAATGAGTGCAGGTAAAGCACAGTGACTGGGAAGGGCAGCTATTAATGGCTGATGCAAGGGAAATAAAGGGTTAATGGTCAGAGCATGGGAAGGGCGGGTATTGGAAAGAAAGGGTTAATGTTTAGAGCACGGGAAGGAAAGAGGTTAATGATACCTGGGTGGTTCCACGCTGGGTGAGTTTTCAAGCTGATACAAAACGGCGACAAAAACAACCAGAACCGATATAGAGAACCACCAGAGCCCGGGCATGGAACCGAACAGCTAACAGAACCCGAATAATAGAACGTCCGCCGCTGTCACTGAGCTCTGAGCTTCCTGAACAGTCAGACACAGCTGGACATGCGTATTACACACCGATTGCGTCATTACCGTGACACAGCGTTATTATACCCCATGTAATATACACTGACTGTATCATAAGAGTGATACAGCGTTATTATACCCCATGTAATATACACTAACTGTATCATAAGAGTGATACAACATTATTATAACCCATGTAATATACATAACTGCATCATAAGAGTGACACAACATTATTATACCCCGTGTAATATACACTAACTGCATCATAAGAGTGATACAACATTATTATACCCCATGTAATATACATAACTGCATCATAAGAGTGACACATTATTATACCCCATGTAATATACACTAATTGCATCATAAGAGTGATACATTATTATACCCCATGTAATATACACTAACTGTATCATAAGAGTGATACAGCGTTATTATACCCCATGTAATATACACTGACTGCATCATAAGAGTGATACAACATTATTATACCCCATGTAATATACACTGACTGCATCATAAGAGTGATACATTATTATACCCCATGTAATATACACTAACTGCATCATAAGAGTGATACATTATTATACCCCATGTTATATACACTAACTGCATCATAAGAGTGACACAGCGTTATTATACCCCATGTAATATACACTAACTGTATCATAAGAGTGACACAGCGTTATTATACCCAATGTAATATACACTGACTGCATCATAAGAGTGATACATTATTATACCCCATGTAATATACACTAACTGCATCATAAGTGACACAGCGTTATTATACCCCATGTAATATACACTAACTGTATCATAAGAGTGACACAGCATTATTATACCCCATGTAATAGACACTGACTGTATCATGAGTGATACAACTTTATTATACCCCATGTAATATACACTGACTGTATCATAAGAGTGATGCAACATTATTATACCCCATGTAATAAACACTGACTGTATCATAAGCGTAATGCAACATTATTATACCCCATGTAATATACACTAACTGTATCATAAGAGTGACACAGCGTTATTATACCCCATGTAATATACACTAACTGCATCATAAGAGTGATACAATATTATTATAACCCATGTAATATATTCCAACTGTATCATAAGAGTGATGCAACATTATTATACCCAGTGTAATATGTATAGCTTGGAGGAAAGACGAGACAGGGGGATATGATAGAAACATTTAAATATATAAAGGGAATCAACACAGCAAAGGAGGAGACTATATTTAAAAGAAGAAAAACTACCACAACAAGAGGACATAGTCTTAACCCCTTAAGGACGGAGCCAAATGTACACATTGTGAACAAAACAAAATGTAAACAAAACCTGGCATTTGCGCTACATGTCTGTCCAACCGTAATACACCCCTTTCATAGTAAATGCACCCACCCTTATTATATATCATTTTATTCAGGGGAAACAGGGCTTTCATTTAATATCAAATATTTAGCTATGAAACATAATTTAATATGAAAAAATGGGAGAAAATAAGATTTTTTTTAATTTTTTTTAGTTCTACATGACATTTTAACTGTCAATGTCATAATACTGTTTGCTTTTACCGCAATAAAATACACATATTTGTATTCAGCAAAGTCTCACGTGTAAAACAGTACCCCCTATGTACAGGTTTTATGGCGTTTTGGGAAGTTACAGGGTCAAATATAGCACGCTACATTTGAAATTGAAATTCGCCAGATTGGTTATGTTGCCTTTGAGACTGTATAGTAGCCCGGGAATGAAATTTACACCCATAATGGCATACCATTTGCAATAGTAGACAACCTGGCAGAGTTGTAATGGAAGTCCAGTCTTTTAGTAGTTATTTGGCCGCCAAAACACTGGCCAA